ACTTGTACGTTGTACTCTTGGACTTGTATTTGATCTACAGATGAATAATGGAATAGTGTAATTTACTTCTGTACGTCAATTTGGTCTCACTGTATTTCAGTGGGCGGCTTTTAAAAGTTAAAACTGCAAGCGTAATACATACAAATAACGTAACACTGTGTCGTATTTACTTAAGGTAGGGCAGTTGCGGTATATCCTAGGGGAGGGCATAATTATTAATTAATAGGCATTATAGGCCAGAGGAAATTTTCGCCCCTTCATACCTGCGCCGGGGACGACTGCCCCCACTTGCCCCTCTCTTGCTACGTCACTGTATATATGTAATATATCTAAAAGATTATAAATGGTTTTTACAAATCTCACCTTAGAAACTATATAGTAGCTTAATCCATAAAGTGGAAATGGGTAAAATTAGTTAATGACTGCTAAATAGCTGCTTCCTAAAGATTCATCTCTGTGACTTAAAAATAAGATAGATGACCCGATATGGGACGCAGAGCGAGTGAGATTAGTTAAAGCAAAATATGAAAGTTATACGGGTTATGTTTTTGTTTTAGGTTGATATATATCTCAAGCGATAACACAATAAATTTTCTGCAGTGCCAACAGACACCTTTAGTGACAGTTAGTTGCGGGATATGTATATATATAATAAATTTAACAGTTTTGTGGTATTTATTGGCCTAATTATATTCCATCAAATAAACTGCGATTCGAATGTACAGAGTGTGCATATAGAAAATGTGTATTTCGTATCATTTGAAAATAAAGGTATCTTTAATCTTATTTTCTAACATATATTTTCAAAATATTTAAAAGTATATATGCTGCAGAAATGTAACAGTGTTATAGAACCTTTTGTTTTCAGTTTTGTTCACTTAACTTTATCCATCAATATCTTGACCCTCACGAACTGACCAATGCCGGAGCTTCAGTGATATTTCTTTTAAATCATTCAAGTAAAAACGCACGGATGTTCTTAATGTTTTTCACTTTATTTCAAGTACAGGATGATTAAATAATCTTTTATTTGATGTTATCTGTATTTTTCATTTACCCCTTGATTTTTTGAGATGTTGTATAAGTACTTAGGTTCAGGCGCAGAACTTACCATTGTCTCTAACTATACCACTTTTGTTCTTATCATTTTTGACAAGCGTTACTTACGATTCACCAAATCGTTAACTCTAATGTGATAAAGACGTCCATAACTTATTATATTTTTATAGTTAATGAAGCTTGAAATAGCAAAGTACAAAGTTTTTATACCTACAAAATCAACAGTGTGTAAAATATCCACTAAATATTAAATATTCTGTTCATAATTTTACCAACATTTCGTAACAGTGATTCTTAAAATTACAACAACTCTTTAAGAAATACCAATAATTTTAACATCGAAATGTTACTTGGAACCTAAGACAAATAGAAACCTTACATTATTCCAGACATGTTAATTATATTCAACATGATGATTGAAGTCTAAATGAAGGGTGTAGTGTCCACAGATTATATTTAGTCTTCTAGTAAGTAGTAAGAAGTTTTCACTATATTTTATTAATACAAACTCATCTTTACAAGATTTGGGTACTATAGAGAAACATATGGTAAAAATACTGCAATATACTTGCCGTATATATATTATTTTGAATATATCAATAAACTTTACGGGTGTCCAACTTACCTGGTGAATAGGTAAGAGCGTTCAGAGCACTGTTCGTCATTGTCACCGTCGATACGATGAGCCCGTTTTGGGAGTTGAGAAGAGTTACGTGGCCGTTGCTCATCCCAACTGCTACTACCAAGGCTTCATTATGTATCGCCAGAGACAAACATTCAGCCTATAATGAGATTCAGATCATATCATAATTATCTCTTACGACTTAAATGATAGCTATGATTATTCTGTTTAATTTATTATAATTTGATATCCATAGCATAAAAAACGTGTTTCATTTTTTATAGTCCCCCAGTAGCTCACCAGTAAGTCTGAAGGCTTATAACGCTAAAATAGAGTTCGATATTCGTAGTGGTTACTTAAGGTTAGATTAGGTAAAATAAATAATAATAATAATTTAATGAATATATTTCACGAGGCACGCACGCAAGCAGCTCTGAGTAGCTCGTAGGTAATGTAATTCGATAATATTACGTGAGCACCACGTTCCTCAAGTGGTTTACAACTTATAATGGCCCGAATAGTAGTTAGACACGGTTCAAATGGCAATAAAACAATAAATGTTAGTATAGACAGATGTATAATGTTACAAACATAGAGCTACTAGGATAATCGAATGTAGTTTCATGTTACAATTTGAAGTCATTCTAGAAAGAGAAAAACGGTAATATAGATGTATTTCGATTTTTTGGTGGTTACCAGGTCGGTCAATTTGACCAACATTGTATGTAGGGTAGAGAAAATAACAGATAAAACATAAAGTTTTTACTGAAAACAAACATTTGAAATGTATTTAGGAAGTTTTACAGTTAACACTCAAATGGAATTTGAGATTTTTGAGATGAAGAAAAGTATTTTTAATCTTAACATGAAAATGACTTTGCACTCGGACTAGTAAACAAATACTCGATATCTTCATGGACAAGTATTTTTTAGTTTATTACAAATACTTCACTAAAAAATATGATTTTTTGTATGTGAAAGACTTATAATGTTTACTGAAAGTGTAGCCAAATTTTGTAAAGATATACATACTATATTAAAAGTTAGTAATATCAAAGTATAAAGACTTTAAACAGTACAAAGAGGCCACGTGGTCAATCAAATCCACCGACCCGCCCGTGTTAAAAGATTCAAGATTGCTCTTCAGAGTCTGGCAGTACATCAGTCAGGCCTTGATGACATTCACTATAAGATGCTGCACCATCTCACTCATGCATCTCTTGTTCTTCTTCTGGTTGTTTTAAACTGGATCTTGCAGGAAAACGATTTTTCTGATGCTTCGAGCAAGGCTATTGTCCTACATTTTTCTAAACCTGGGAAGGATTCCAAGATTCCTTCTAATTATCGTCCTATTGCTTTGTTTGTTTGATTTTTGAATTTCGCGCAAAGCTACACGAGGGCTATCTGCGCTAGCCGTCCCTAATTTAGCAGTGTAAGACTAGAGGGAAGGCAGCTAGTCATCACCACTCACTGCCATCTCTTGGGCTACTCTTTTACCAATGAATAGTGGGATTGACTGTAACATTATAACGCTCCACGGCTGAAAGGGCGAGCATGTTTGGTGGAACAGGGATTCGAATCCGTGACCCGCAGATTGTGAGTCGAGCTCCCTAACCACTTGGCCATGCCAGGCCCCTATTGCTTTGACTAGCTGTCTCTGTAAGGTTTTGGAGAGGGTGGTTTATGCTCGTCTTGTTTAGTGCCTTGAATCAAACAACCTCCTTTCACCCACCCATTGTGAGTTCCGTCGACAATACTCCACCGTGGACCACTTTATTCGACTTGAAACCTCGATCAGGGAAGCTTTTCTCAAGACAAAACATCTTGTGTATGTTTTCTTCGATCTTGAGAAGGCTTACGACACTACGTGGAAGTATGGCATTTTGTGGGCACTCTACTCCTATTGGTTGCGTAGCCCATTTTTATTTGTAACTTTTTACTTGACACATGATTCTATGTCCGTGTGGGTTTTACCCTTTCCTGTTCTTTCACACAGGAACTTGGAGTCCCTCAGACCAGTGTCTTGAATGTAACGCTTTTCAGTGTTAAAATCAATGCTATTACTCGACAACTTCCTCCTGCCATAGCAAACGGCCTCTATGTCAACGAATTCCATATTTCTTGTCGGTCATCTCAATTATCTTTTATGTTGGATCCTAGTAAACGGTTTCATCTTTTTGACCAGCTGCCTAAACTGGGTCTGTCATTGGATGACGTTGCTGAGTCTATTGATCAGCCCATCCGCTATGGCTCATTATTATCCTCACCTGTGACCTTTCTTTGAGTCATCTGAAGAAGGCAGATACTCCATATTAGAAGTACCATCTTCTCTTTGCCGAACATCTTTTAAACCATTCTTTTTTTTTCCCGTTTTTACGTATGGTTCGAAATCAGGTGACTCTGTCAGGGTTTGTTGTGACTTGGTGGTTGCTAGCTGGATCCCCTCTACAGATTCTGTGTTCGCTGCTGAGTTGTATGTCATTTCTCTTGACTTGGATCATGTAGAAGCTAAGCTGTATACTAACGTACTATTTACACGGACTCTCTTAGCTCTCTACTGGACCTGGAATCGCTTAACGTTAGTTCTAACCCTGTTCTCGTCGATATTTAAAAAAACTGGCCCAATTTTCTTTATCTTTCATTTCTATCTACAGTTTTTCTAGATACTTGGCCATGTCGGTATTCGCGGGAACAAGCTTGGCTTGGCGCCAGTTAGCAGTCGATTTGGAGTGAGCAAAGAGAGACTTATATAAGAGAGACTTTTGTAGCTTCTTATAGGTATTTCGTAACATTAAGATAAAGTATTACGAAGCACGTGGTACTTTAAGTAACCATTTTATCACGACATAATATAGCTTGATATTCGTGGTTAACAAAATTTTCCATTTTATATCACCAAATAAAGGAATTATAAGAATTATTGGGGGCGACTTCTTTTCCTAAATTAAAATAAACATTAGTATATATAAATTCTGATCGTAAGATTTAATACCCCACAACTATATATGGTTATGACAACTTAACCTGGTAACAAAATTGGCTTATAATGAAATATTTTACGGTAGCAGAATGTAACATGATGTAATTTCCATTATGCTTAAAACTATGAAGTATGTAACTAAGTGAAAGTGTAGTAATTATTCACGTTTTATTTTTTATTTGACGTGGAAGAACAACATCGATTTTAAACTAGATTACCATAAGATGTTTATATTATCAATTTATTTTGATATACAAGTATACTAAGATTACATTTATTAAATTTCTGGTCATTCGAATGGGAATTATGGATTAAAATTACCCCGAGTTTAAAAGGGTGTATTATCTGAACAATGAAAGTTAATATTTTAAATTTTGGAGTAAATACTCTTTGTGCTATTTATGTATTAAAAACATTACTAAGTTGCTATGAGAAATTTACGTGTGTTAAATTTAAATTCATTTGTATACGGATTAGGAATTAATGTTAATAAGAAGTTATTATCTGAACAGGGGTAAATATTTCTAGTGCTATTTGGACACTAGTATCTGTAAAATATGTTGATATGTACCGAAATTTAATCATTTTGTATAGAAAATAGGATCAAAATTATCGTAACAATGTATGATCTGAGATTTTATATAATTATATATGTTATAATGAATAATAACTAAATAATTCAAAAGTATACCTCGAACAGGTATGATACTTATTAGTAAATGTTATATTAATGCACATTATTCCATTTACTAGAGTTTGCACTTTTATATCGATGTTCATTTGCCAATGTTTAAACTAATACTTCTTATCAGTGAACATCTGCCAGTTTTGTTCAATCTCACCCTTACATGCTCTCATGCATTTTGACCACTTCATAAAATTGTTTTGAAACAAGACTCATAAAATCAAAATTGTTAATAATAAAATAAGTAGATATTGTACAACTTTCTGGATAGTTCTTGAAGCTTTAAATTGCAGTGTGATAATTTCTAATAAAAGAAGTTGGGTTCATTTTCCTTACTTATATTTAAGGTTAAGTGACATTATGATATTTAATAAAATATTATAGGGTTCATTGACACATGACTCTTCACCGGGTGTAAGAAAGGCTGAAAACGTACTTGGCATTTGAAACTAACAAAATATCCCGATGGCGTCTTTTGCCTACCATACATTGTTCGATACTTGCGGAAGTTCATGCTGTATTGTAGATAACGACAAAATATATATTTAATACGATTGTTGTATTTTGTAACACCGCATATGCGTTATTTTTATGCTTTATTGAAGAATAGGTTCAAGTACTTTACCTAATACATCTTTAGAGTGTAACTTGTTTTTAGAGATGGTTCAGAAAATATGTATACCGTGTATGTTGGAAGTATATACCATCTTTACTTTATAGTACCGTGTATGTCGGAAGTATACACCATCTTTACTTTACAGTACCGTGTATGTTGGAAGTATATACCATCTTTACTTTACAGTACCGTGTATGTTGGAAGTATATACCATCTTTACTTTATAATACCGTGTATGTTGGAAGTATATACCATCTTTACTTTACAATACCGTGTATGTTGGAAGTATATACCATCTTTACTTTACAGTACCGTGTATGTTGGAAGTATATACCATCTTTACTTTACAGTACCGTGTATGTTGGAAGTATATACCATCTTTACTTTACAATATGTATACCGTGGGTTTCAAAAATCTAGATATATATAAAAATGAAAAAATTATGTAATTGAATCTTACCTCCACCGATACTCTCCACTCTAAGATGTGAAAGTGCCACTTACAGACTGACTTATCTTCACCACCAGTGTAAAATCCATCACCTTTCGGGTCACTCGTCACTGCTTTCACTCCACGAGCGTGACCCTAAAGTTAATAATGAATAGTAAACCTCAATTTAATGATGTAAATTTTTACAAAACAAAGTTACTAAAAATTTTATTTTATTTGTAACGCCACAGTAAACAAGAACGTTAACTAGAGTTTGTTTATTTTGAATTTCGCGCAAAGCTACACGAGGGCTATCTCCGCTAGCCGTCCCTGATTTAGCAGTTTAAGGCAAGAGGGAAGCCAGCTAATCATCACCACCCACCACCAACTATTGGGCTACTCTTTTACCAACGAATAGTCGGATTGATCGTCACATTATAACGCTCCCACGGCTGAAAGGGCGAGCATGTTTGGTGTAACGGGGATTCAAACCCACGACCCGCAGATTGCGAGCCGAGCACCCTAGCCACCTGACACAGGGGAAAACCGCGCTCTAATTAAATTGTTTGATTCAAAAAGTGTTGTTAAGGGTTGTTTGTTTGTTTGTTATTAAGCATAAAGCTACACAAAGGGCTATCTGTGCTCTGCCCACCACATTATCGAAACCCGGTTTCTAGTGTTGTAAATCCACAGACATACCGATGTGCCACTGGAAGGCTCCAATTTACGACCAACTTCGTACCTCATCCTTTTCGTGTAGGTTTTGTAATGGTTTTGTGCATATCCAGTACTGAAACAGTGGTACAGCTTGTTTTCAAGTATTATTTAAAGATGTCCGTTATATGAGAGTTGTTTGTCAGTTAGCATAATATTTAATATTAAGGTATAAGTGGTTTAGACCTCTTGTTAAGTCGCGAAAACGTAGCCAACTCAAGTGCGTACGTTTATATTTGTATTAGGGAATTGTTTTGTTAAATCTAATTTAGTATTTTTTGAAGTATCGAAGGAAATTGTCTTTGCAATGGGCCGTCGCACAGATCTGAATATGCCATGTGTAGGGCTGATATACTTAAATGCCGTACTAGTGGTAAAGCTACATTAAATTATGGTGCAAAGAAAGTGTGGGGAATGATAATACTTTAACTGTTCCTAATTTCTTCAAATAAACTATATTTTTTGTTATAGTGTTTTAAATAAATTTTGTAAAAAATAGAAAAATATTAATTGACTGAATAATACGATGCTAAATGTTACCATAGATTGGCACAGGTAGATTGAAGTAACTATGCTAACGGCTAGGCCTAACGTCGATAATATGTGTTGGCCTATGTGAAGAAGAAAAAAACAAAAAACATTTTGGTTCATTGAGTGGTCTGTAAAACGAAGAAAAAACAATGACGTGAGCTGCTCACATTCATTGGTTCAATCGTTCATATCGATAGGCTCAACTACTTGACAAGCCTCAGTTTGAAATTACTAAGTACCAACTGTAATGTAAGCACTGCATGAAAAATCGAATCTTTACTTGGTTTATTACAGTCTTACTCACGCACAAAATAATACGACGTTTCAAAAACTAACACATTTCTCACATTATCCTGCTGTTTCAGTACTCACGCATATAAGTGGACGAAACTTCCGCTGCGTTGAACCCTCATATACTTGATTTCTATTGGTGGCTACGTAGAATGTGCCATCTGGGCTCGGATATTGCATGCACAGAGCTTCCACACCTCCAGCTCCGCGTGGCAACTATGCAAATATAATGGTTAAAATAAAAACAAACAAACCATGATTTGGAAAATGTCATTAAGATTAACTATTATGACTTGCTTTCAACTACTGATAAGTAAAATCGTTCTTTTTAATCAAACAGTATGATTTATTATTTAATTTAATTATTATTTTCTTAAACTGTCTATGTATTTTCTACTGATTTCCGCAAGTTTTGACAGTCAAGTATTTTGGAATATTCCTAGAATTTTGTCACAATATATATATATTTAAATATTTGTACGATGATTTTAATGTACCTGATTGTGTAAAAGGGTGGGTAAGTAAGGAAATATCTAATAGTTTTGAAGTAAAATGTATACACACATTAGTAGCTGCAACTCTCGTTAATTTGTTGGTAGTGCTCCAAACTTTAATATGTCCCTCTCTATCTCCACTTCCACCCGAGAAAAGTGTCCCTTCTGGTAACAACAGTAGACCACGAACGTCCCTCTGGAAAAAAAGGGCCAAGTTTGGCTTCAATTTAAAAACAGATACGTTTTTGTTGCTAATTTGTATTACAGTGTTTTAGTGATTCTTTTCTCCTCCCTTAGTCTTTCATTTCACAAATGACGCTGAAATAAAGTAACATTTATAATAACAACAAATGAAAGTCCATAACCTAAATGTTAATTAAGATGAAATAGAAGATTTACCATTCCTGATTACAGTTTTACTTTAAAATTACACACGATGCTTTCATCTAAGAATAAACATTTCATTATTGTTAGAGTTATTTTCGTAATTTATTTATTACTGAATCGCCAGTAGAATACTAACAAAACCTTCACATTAGAACAGGTACAAAACAACAACACAGGTTAAGGTTATTCACCTTAATCTACAGTTCCTCCTTATATAGAATGCAATCATTATTTCCAATATTTAATGGAATTTTCTTTTTAACTTTACTTAATAGTTAGATACGAAACTTGTTAGCTGAACAATAATCACGATTAACTATAGGCCTACCTCGTGACCTTTGACCTCTTTAACAATGATAAAAGTACAAGGGTCATCGTCGTCACCAGGAGACCAAAGCGTTAAGTAGCCTCCGCTATCACCAGTCACCATTGAGCCATCTGGTAGAAACTGGACACAGGTCACTGTTTTGGCCGATTGACCCTGTATGTCAAATATTTTATGAAATGATGGCTTCCTGTTTGAGTTCCTCTTAATTTATAGTAAGATTAACCTTAGCAACTGGATCATGGATTTCACAAAATCAATTATGTTATTTAAAAATGAATTTTACATTACATCTAATCGTTTTAGTAATCTACAACCACGAAATATTGTAAATGATACTTTTTTGGTGACATAATTTATTCATGTGTCTAAATGTGTCCAGTCATTGATAACAGAAATACAAAAATATTAATTTCAGATTGATTACGTGGTTTAATCATAGATCGTTACAAGGTAAGTGTCATAAAACATAAGTAGAATATAGAGAAAGATTTATGGTTGATGTATACTTTTTCAGAAGAAAATTGAATTATCTAAATGACTGAAATTTTGTGTGAGCATTCGTTTTCCGTTTTTAACATAAAAATGTAATATCATAAAGCGTCTTCTCCTTTGCAGTGACGTTCACTATATTGTGTTAAAACCGATTGACGTAATTATTTTAAAAATTCAAGATAAACCCGAGTTGCTACAGAAGAATATGAAATCATTTTTTTTTCTGGAAGAGGAAATATCATGCAAAGAGAAATTATACATGAAATAAGTGGATAGTCTTACTAGGTTTTGGCAAATGGTTGAATTCCACGTACCACTCCAATTATTTTGCTATTCATCAATTTATTTTTTAACATGCAAACTATTAAAAAATGCAAGTAATAGTTTAAAATACTTACGGTAGGGTTAATTGATCGTTTGTCCAGAAAACCGTCACGGCCGCGTTTCCAAAAGGCCAGATGCTGTGTTCCGAATGTTACTACAAGATCTTCTTCTGAAGGATGAAATGTCACTCCTTTTACTTCTTCACTCTGTGTCTAGGAAATAAATCATCAAATGAAAATATTAGTCACTAAATATAGAATACAAGACATGGAAATTAGTGTTTGTATAGTATACTTTAAAAGGCTGATTTGAATAGTAACTTATTTTAAGATATTTATGAGGGAAGAGCATACCGCCTTTACCTGGAATTCGTTTTCTATTCTTTCTATAAAATAGGAAACTGAATAAGAATAAACATTTTTTAGAAAAAAAAATAACTTAATTTCATCTAATACATAACTTAACAAATATCACTAAATAAAACACGTTTTTATCATACTTTTATCTAATAACAAGCAACATATCCTTGATTATTTAAAGCATAAAATTTATTATGTAACTAACACAAAAGAGACGTTGAATAAATTAGAGGCTCTATTTTCAAAACTAATTCTAGTATACAAGTTGCAGAGTTAAATAAGTCAGTAATTCAATACAATGTCTATAACTCCATAATTATTATTAATATAATGTTAAATTGTATTGAACATACATATTTATTGACAATAATAATTTGAATGTGTTCACACTTACCGAAGCTCGTCCAAGAACAGAGTCATTCTGCCAGTCCCACAACCACAATTCATGGTCTTCACTCGCTTCTAACATTGCCAGTAAAGAGCCCTACAAGAAAGAATCCCCCCCAGAGAAAAACAAAACAACAACATGAAAATAAAATTCATTGAGCTCAACCACTATAAATTGTTATTAAGTGGGTATAATACTGAATTTATTACATTTACATACCCCACTCTTCACAATTTTACTTATTTTTCAACCATTGCCCTCCCAGTAAAATGTATACATTAAAATGTTGGGAGAAAAACAAATGGTACGCATATTAATTTAAATGAATTTAGGATTAATTATTTTCCTTGTGATCTAAACTTCAATCTATACTTTTAGAAATTGTGAATATGTTTTTACACAATATGTATATATATATTTATCAAGATTAGTTTGTTGTGTTTTGAATTTCGCGCAAAGTTGCTTCGAGGGCTATCTGTGTTAGGTGATAAACATCAATCACCGCGAACTCTTCGTTCACTTTTTTATCAACGAATATTATAGTTGACCGCCACATACAACGCTCCTCGCGGCTGAAAGGGAGAACATATTTGGCGAAGGGTTTCGATCTCGCGTCCTGCAGATTACGAGTCGAAAATAAAAAAAAATCATTTTTCTTTTATCCAATAACATCATTAACGATTCCATTGTACAAACAATCTAGAAATAATCCCTTTTGTTATATACTTCATTGTCATGAGATCACTTTTAACACAACTAGCTTCAGAGGAAAGTATTCAGTTAACTGACCAGAAAGTAAAGAAGGTAGTTTCAGATTTTAATACGATATTACTAAGAAAGAAACATAAATATTTATGTACGTCTGTTATGAACACATCCTCCGGTGGGACAGCGGCAAGTCTACAGACTTACAACTCTAAAATCCGGAGTTCAATTCTCCACGGTGGACACAGTAGATAGCTATATGTGGCTTTGCTCTAAAACCAACAAAACTTATGAATAAAATGATGAAGAGAATGATTTGAGTTTGTAAATGACTTAATAATCATTGATGTTTAGGAGTTATTTTCAGGAGATAAATATTTAGAGACAATTTTACGCTGTTTTTTGGTACATGGCTTTTTTTTTTAGATTTATCTAAATGTGTTGGGTTTGATAATGGTTAAGTTTATGTAATTGATAATTTATTTATTTCTTTCTATTTGCTGGTAACTTGCGTCGTGTATTATTGTTAAACTCAAATTAAATAAAACACAATGTTTAATTGTATATAGTTTAAAAACGTTTATTACACAGTTTACAAGTAAACGTTGTGTTTTGTTTAATGCATTCTAGATCTTCTTGTCAGTTAATAATAACATTATGTTAAGAAACATTGTCGTTTCAGGCTCAATTCTTGTAAAACGGTCAGTTTAATAATTTTGAGTTTTAAAAGTATAATGCTTAAGTGAACATTGTTTAATGTTCAGTTCAACCTCTTCGGTACAGCAAAGCTAAAACAAAACATTAACATAAGAGATCGCTTAACGAAAATTGTTAAAACGTTTGAATGTTTCTTTAGGAACAAGAGGGAGTTCTCAATAGCTGCGGCTGTAATTAGATCTCAAATTGGTCAAGAGATGGAGGTATGAGCTAAAAGTTAGTACTTGAAAAACAAAACAAAAACAGACAAACTCAGAGCCATTCAATGAGTCGCTGTGCTGCGGCTATAAATCAATATTGAAAGCTAGAGAACTTTAACATCGTAATAATTACGTAATGTCGTAATAACGTAAGGTTGATTGGCTGAATCAGATGATATTGTTAATTTCAGTTTTATCTGAACTTTAAGTGTTTATTATTTTATAATCTAGTTTTAGAAATGCACCACAACTGATAGCATCGCTTGGCCCAAGCGAAAACTAGGAGACAGAGAGGGAAAACCTAGACAAAAAAATCTTTGCTACTATTAATATATATATATATTTTTTTTCAAAACACCAATCAGTTGATACCATTTAAGCATAAGAAAATATTTCAATCCTACTGAAGTTTTCAAAGAAATATTTAAGTGATAATATGTTATGTTGTTATAGTATTAATATTGTCTATAGTTGAAAAGAGAAGTTTACCTCCGGGGAAAAAGCCAGGTCGAAAAGTCCAGAAGACTCTATTTGACCGCTTCCCACCTCCGCTATTGTTTGCAAGCTGTCAGCTCTCCAGATCAACACGTGGGCCTGGAACCAGGCAATAATACATGAACTTCAACAGTTACTTTTACAGTTGTAATACTGTTCGTTATTTAGTTCTAATAGCTGCAGTTATCCAGTTATGGGATTGCTAGTTATTAACTTGTAACACTTAGTTACTTAGGGGTAATTTTGTTAACCCTTTATTTGTAGCTAATTCAAATGAATAATAAAAAATGTAATTTAACTGATTAAAACTGGTGTTTTTTTTTTACAAAAATGGACTCATCAAAGTAATTTATTACCTGAGATGCATTGGTTGGTCCTGCCCCTTGACCAGTGGCAATTATTTCATATTCGTTATGAACTGTTATACTGAAAATTAAGATAAAAACAGTTATTTGATATATAATACCATGGGTTTAATAGAAACAAAGGATAAAGAGCATGTTTTATGCGTCTATATGTTTAGGATTTACATCTGATGTGCTTTGAATTAAATTATTATTTAAATTTGTATAAGACTTAAAAGATAGAACTATGTATATAAATATTAACAAAAATAGCAACAAACCATTGGATGTCTTCAGTGTGATTGGTAAAGTGACGTTGTCGGTTGTTCTGTCTGTCGTAGATAACAGCTACGGTTGCTACTGGATAAAGTAATTCACGAGACGGCAGCACATGCAAGTTACCAATTCCTTCTTGTGAACGAATCCCATGTCTGAATATAACTGTGGTTAAGGGTGTTTATAAGATTAAGGCATAAAATACTAGACAAAAATTCTCCAAATTGTGAAAGAGGTACCAAAACAACGATAAACTAATAATTATACTTTTATGTAAACGTTTTGTGTTCAAACGCTTATTTTTACTCAATGACTTTAATCAACAGAAACTTTTTCAAACAACAGAAGCGCTAGTTTTTGTTTTAGTGGCTGATTTCTAATCACAGAAATGTTACATGGTGATAAAGTACTTGTCTCTAGTTTCGGTAAATTACTATTTATTTTTGAACTATAGCAGTTGATAGATTGGAATTTTAAACCCGATCGCCACTTCATACTTAATTTTGATCTACTTTTTTGAGAGAAGGCAGCCAGCTAGCAGCACGTGCCGCCATGAGGGTCTTTGAATTAAATAGGGATTGACTATCACATTCGTAACACTCCCACACCTAAATGTGTAGAGTATTTTTAACAGCATCACGTATCAAACCCTGTATCCCTCATCGAAAGTCCGGCACATTAACTTTTAAACCATGCTTGGCAAATTTCTTAGAATACCCTACAAATTCCGTGTTGGGTGATATGTAGCTTGAGCGAGACGTTTATCTAAACTATTGCCCCCCCTTCCCAGTGTCACAGCGGTGTCTGCGGACTTATACTGCTAGAAACCGGGTTTCGATGCCCGTGGTGGGCAGAGCACAGATAGCCCTTTGTGTAGCTTTGTGACTTAAATAAAAAAAAACAAAACAAAATCTAAATTATTAAAATAATTTATTTTCTCCTCACTCAAAATGAAGGTGTCATAAACTTTCTTTACAATGAAATGTAGAATATTATACTACTTTGTCACAAGTAACAATGCTGAAAACTAATTCAAACTTAGTGTTTATTTGCACTGTATAAAAGTAAAGTTTGTTCTGACGCGTATATATTGTACTGTTACGACAGCGGAAGTCATGTGATGCTAGTAACACATCAGGAGCTTCTAGAAACTCGTGTTCATTCGTGAAGCCTCGAGTGTTTACTAGATGTGCGGTATTCTTGTATATAAGACCGCCAAGAAGTGACAGTAACAATGAAATGTAATTGAATTGCAGACAGAGATAGAGACGGACAATTGAGTCAAGCGCGTGAATCGTTCATTGTGAATTATAGCGTTTGTTTAAGTTATAGCGTGACTGTGGAAATTTAGTGTATTGCAAAGTTGTAATGAAAGAGAATAAACTAGTTTTATTCAAGAAAGAACTTGTATCGCTAAAGTTTCTTCGGAAATAATTTTTAAAAATTAACAAACGAACACAGAGACGTAACAGTACTTTTACGTTTAGCTAGTCTTTACGCAAGCACCAGGATTTAGTTGATACAGATCTATAAAGTTTTACTTAACCTGAAAAACAACAAATTTTGCACGAAAAGTTCGAGAGACTGTTGTATAAAATCCATCATATCTGATGTTGGGCAACAGTACTTGGATGGTTATTAATTTATGTAACATTTCTGAGGCTAATTTCTTAAGTAGGAGATTATTCTTCAACAGCATGTCATTAAACATCACTGGTTATGAAATTTTAAGATATTATTCTATGTTTCTTTGTTTTATAATTAGACTTAACGGTTAGTCTGAGTAGTTTATGACAGTAATAATCAGGCTTCGATACCTTCAGTGCCCACAGTACAAATAACCTACCATTTTAGCTCCGTGCTTAACCAAAAATTCGTATCTTGGATTATGTTTAAACTATAGTTCCTATAATACTGAGTTCGCTTTCCGAAAGGATTTACTAAATGATGAATTATGTCATATCAATTACGTGCAAAACTTAAAGGGACGTACAGTGTAAAACAGAGTTTTGAGCTGATTGAAAAGAATGTAGTTTTAATATTTTATTAAGGCTAGTTGTTTGAACTGTAGATGACTACAAGTGTATCTGTGTTATCTTCTTTATTTCCTTTTTCCAGTTTCGTGACTTCAAAGGTCACTCTGTAGGACATCATGTATAAATATAATCTATAAAAAACGTTTAGATACTATTTCTTCCAACCGAATGCCTAAAAATGAATATTAAATACATATTTTTACAAATATACACAAATAAAATAAGATAGGAACTGAATACCAGTTTAACGTTGAATATTATTTATGATTTTAACTTTATACACAAGTGTCAAAATACTATAAGTTATACTTTCTCATTTTTTCCATTCCATTATTCTTTATTTTTCTGATTTAAACTTTACCTCAATTACACTTTCTCCTAATATTATAGAAAAGCTGTGTATTTTCATATTACTTAACAGTTTATTAAAATACCTCTTACTTACTTTACTATACTTTCAACAATTCCCAGTAATCCTTGCTACCATTGCACAATTCAAACTAACGTTACTTAGCTACTGTTTATCCTCTAAATTATATGTAATGAGGTGCCCAAAAATATTTGAAATATTTTCCATGAAATAATCTTTCATGTTTTATATCACCTCTTGAGAACGTTGAAAATACCATTATTTCGGAATTATCGCCCCCTAGTGGCACAGCTGTATGTCTGCGGACTTCAAACGCTAGAATCCGGGTTTCGATACCCGTAGTGGGCAGAGCACAGATAGCCCATTATGTAGCTTTGTACTTAATTACAAACAAATTCAGAATTATAAAATCTCGAAATAGCTGTTTCGCTCTCATAGAATTCACCACAGTTTTCACATTCTAGAAGATATATTAACTTATAAGAAGAAAACAAAATGTGATTAGTTACATAAAGTGCAGTTTCTTCTTTCATGACCAAAAAAACCTCCTTTTGAAATAAGTTTCTTTTTTTAGTCCAATTCAATAATCTATGTACGTTTTTAGGTTGTTGTTTCGATAAAATAATTTTATGATTTTTACAAACATCTTTCAGTTTTTTTATACACTATTTGTTTTAATCGTGTATTAACAAATGGAATATCTATATCTATACTTCGACAATGAGTCACTACAAAAGTCTTTTTAGTTTTACACAGTTTCCTTTCCAAAATTTCAATTATAAAAGTTATTCTTAGCAATCTCAAAACTTCATACTTAAAGTTTCTCCGTATTGTGACACTGAATGAATTTTTTTATAGTTCTAGTGGTCTCTTGACTTCCATTTCTTCTATTCAAACTAAATTATATATTTTACTCGTACAAGAACATTTAATTTTATATGTTTGGGATAATTATTCAACAAAATCTACATGCTGATGTGAGTTTGTGGGTTTCTAGAAATTATCAGTCTCTGTCTCCTTTTCTGGCGAAACGCTTGTGAACACATCTGAAACGGATAAAATGTTCTTGTCGTTTTCAAAGCAGAGCTTAATTTCTTTATTTATGAAGCTTGTTTGTTTTTGTTTTTAATTATGCACGAAGCTACACAAGGGCTATCTGTGCTCTGCCCACCACGGGTATCGAAACCCGGTTTCTAGCGTTGTAAGTCCGCAGACATACCGCTGTGCCACTGGGGGGCGTTTATGAAGCATGCTGGAAGACCAATAAAAGTGTAGACTGCATATCAGGCAATGGTGTTGATCTGAACAAAAGTTATGGCACTCTAACTGCTGATAGGTACACGCAGATTCTTATCCTTGGTGTCATTATTTCAGAACAAGACCTATTGAGCAAGGATTCATCGTCCAGCAAAACAACAATACCAAGCATGCACGAAACGTGGTAAATCAATAACTGAAAGAAAAGAGGGTGATGGAACACTCACAATCATGATTTGACATGGACAAAATCACAATATGAATATTATTAGGACTGTATGGAATTATATAAAAACTGAGAAAGTCAAACAACTTTGCTCAATCCTGGAGAGTGATACAAGACTGTTGAGAATGTATTTAATAGTTTTATATATAATATATATATGATCACACACTGATAGATTTATGGAACGTTAAAGCAAGATGTACTGATTTGTTTAAAGCAAATGTGTATCATCTGTGAATTTCCATAACTATTTCCAATACCGTATGTTCGGTCTTCGAAACAAAGTTCAGGTTAAATGCCCCAAATTTGTAACTCTTTTCCACATTTTTAGAATATCTTATAGTTTTTATATATGTGTGTTTGAACAGTTTCTGTACTATACAGAGTACTAGTAAATACTCAGGAATGTGCAATCACACTTAGTGTATATTAATCCTGATAATTCATCAACTAACTGCTGCTAACGCTCCATTTAGTTGCAGGATAATAAATTGCAATTTTACTTTTACAGTGAGCTAACGCTAGATACAACAGTCTGTTTCAGTCTAATTGAATCAAGTTTAGTGGTGGTGAACAGATGAGTCAAAGATTTCGTGTATGTGTGTAAATTTCAAAGTGGGAAGTTTGCTTAGAGAATCCATGTAGAAAATATAAGAATAGTGTTTTTTATTTAAAAAACACAGGAATTCTCAGACTACAACATTATTATTAGTCATACAAGAACTCGACAAATTAAGACGCAAATATGTTGTGGTAATCACGTAATGTACGCATGAAGATTCTACACAACACGTAGTTCAATTTCAGTTAATCGTTTCGTTTTACCACGTAACATAAATTTGAGAATCCTGACTTAATGTTTTTATTCAAAGTATACCAACTGTGCATTAGTTAGCTTAGTTAGTTTATTTGTTTTGACGCATCGCTACGCAAAGGGCTATATGCGCCCTGTTCACCACGGGGAATCGAGTCTCGGGTTTTAGTGTTGTAAGTACATAAACATACCAGTGTCCCACTGGGAGATTTAGTGGTTAGAAACTATATTAATGAGATTTTTATTGCCACGTTTATATTTCTAGATTGCACAAAGACATACAAGTTATACACGTATTGTATATCTTAAAGGTTAACAGTATATCTTAAAGGTTAACATACGTGTATAACAAGTTATACACGTATGTTAACCGTTAAGAATATAGTTCAAGTATATCATTTTTGAAAAGGAATTTCATTCGAAAAAATTGTTACAGAATAATTTGCTTTCATTATAGAAATGCTACCACAAATTCGAAGTATACAAACTCATCACATTGATTTTATAGCAATAAGCTCATTCAGATTGGCTGTCACGAAAGGAAGATTTTCCTTCGTTTGCTAATATAAGTCTAAAAACCTTGAAGCCATTCCGTCAGTAAACTCAATTAATTATTAGTTATCTTTTCACTAGAAAAGAACAAAAAAAAACGCCCTCGCTTGGTTAGCGGTAAGTCTGAGGGCTTATAACGCTAAATGTCGGGTTTAGATACTCCATATGGACACAGCACAGATAGCCCATTGCGTGGCTTTGCTCTTAAGATCAAACAACAACTATAAAAAAGCTATCTAGTTATTTTGTAAAGCATTTAGTGATAGAAGTGTATAACACCTGTATGTAACACCCATTACAATTCGAAATCATTAACACGAACTTCTATTTGTTATAAAATTCCATATTTACAAATATAATAAAAATATCATTCCATTTTTGTTTCTGATTTAATGTAAGATGTTTTTTTCTTTTTACGCATATAAACTTCTCGATCTTTATACTTTTCACAATCAATAGTGTTGTAACTCAAGTTTTTTTTTCGGACGCTTGAACAGAGCAATACAGGAAGCATTGTTTTTATTATTTCCTTCTGCACATTCTTACATTAAACCTAGCTTCTGTTGCATTTATTTTTCCCAGTAAATACTAAATGGTCTTGTGAATTGTTAATGACGAACACAGTATTGGATATGCCAACTGTTTATAATACGATCAATGTTTATAGTACATTCAAACTACTATTATACTGTTCAGATTCTAATATTTTCTTTCGTGATATGACTGTTTTTTCGAAAACTCTACCAATCATTAAACGAATAAATGTTTTATACAGACTGGAACTGAGATCCGAAAACTGATCATTCGTGCAACAATGTTTTGTTTTGTGTTGCTCCGTATACAGAAGAGACTGCTATTCTAAAGCACTCAAGCTTTTGGATCTTTTATGGAATTTTATTTACATTTTTATAGCCCTTTATTGGTGAATTTTAACGTATTCTTCGAGTTTAGTTTGAATACATAAAAATACGATGACAAGTACATTGTACATTACTCGTATGAAGAAGAAAGCATTACTGAAAGAGTTTCAATAAAAACTAGAACACAAAGTTTAACTGAAGCGGTATTATAAACTTTCTTTTTTGTGTGCAGATATCTATCTAGTGCTAGTTAATTGTGAAGTGTTTAGAATTATTATGAGTCCTGTTCCGTCTCACTTGCAAAATTTAAAAGAATTCGGACATATTCAAGTTTAGGAAACGTGTTACGATAACGAGAATGTGCATTAATTAGTCATCAAATTACAACAAAACTGGTTAGTTTAAAATAGCATACAGTGCTATTTTTTGGTAGAAATTATATTCTAAATAGGTTTGTTTTTCAATCCTACTTAAAATTCATAAATTATTTTATCGTTGTTTTTATTAAAGGCAATGCTTCATCACAAATTCATAAATTATTTTATCGTTGTTTATATTAAAGGCAATGCTTCATCACAAATTCATAAATTATTTCATCGTTGTTTTATTAAAGGCAATGCTTCATCACAAATTCATAAATTATTTTATCGTTGTTTTTATTAAAGTCAATACTTCATCACAAATTCATAAATTATTTTATCGTAGTTTCTATTAAAGGCAATGCTTCATCACAAATTCATAAATTATTTTATCGTTGTTTTTATTAAAGGCAATACTTCATCACAAATTTAAAATTAATTACAAAAGATCATTTTCCATTTGTTAATTAGAAGATCCCACAAACTAACGTTTCAACAATAATAAACGTGTCTATCAAAGAATCGGTAACTGGCAATAAGGGATGATACCATTCGTATATGGTAAATGAAAAACAAAACTCTTTAAATGGACAGGCGAGAAAAAATTAAGTAAATTTAAGAGTGTTTATGAAAATACTTTAAATACAGAAAAGAAGTCATAAGTTTTGATGTTAAAAAAAGTAATACTGTAAAACACGCTCTACTGGACAAAGATAATTCTGTAATCTCTGAAAGGATACGCCCATTCAAGTTTCAGTTCCTTCTCAGGACGACTGTAGTTGGGTGGACTCCATCGTGATAATTCTTGACTATCTGTCTTTATTCCGTTTATCTTCCTCCTTATAGGCTTAGCGATTCCATTTTGGGTGAAGTCACCTTTGCCCCATTTATTCTCTGTACGAACATTCAACATCAAATAATTAGTATTAGATAAATATAAAAACATATAATGATAAATACTGTGTTTATTGAAATATTTAAACAGACACGAGGACCAGAAAGGGTCTATATTCTGTCTTGAATAAGTTACAATTACTTATCTTTACCTAGTTGTATTACAGTTGATTTATTTCATTATCAGAATAAAATATCAACCCTATTTCCCGAATGACTTTTTTTTTACGCAAGCTTTATTTAATTCTTCAACATTAGATAAGCCACCGCGTTAAAAATTTTAGTGGGATTCCCTAAACTTGAAGTTAATATTTATAACCAGCTATTCGATAAAAAACCAAAACAATGAAACACCAAAATGAAGAGTGAAGTACAAAGGCTAAAAGATAAACTGGTTACTAATTAATATAATCCTATTAGTACTGGAAGTATCCCGCACACTTTAAACACAGGCAAACGTTAACGGCGGTGAAACGTAGTTCATTGTATTTTTTCTATCCCATTTTAACTTTTTAATTTTCAGTATGATATTAGACAGAAATAATGCCAAATTGTTTCATCCTATTCATAAAATAGGTTATCTTTGATACGGACATTCTCCTACGTCACATTATTTTCGTTTGGATCAAAAACACAATGTTCTCAAAAGAAAATTAATGAAATGCTAATTAATATTTTATACAAGACATTATTTTGAAAGGGAATTATATTCTTATTAATTATTTGTTTTTGATAATTTACTAAATTTATCCGATGCAACTAGAAATGTGTTTCCATCTAGAAATATAATTACACTATGAATAAAGAACTTGTAAATAAGAAACATTTCTGTTGAATGGTATAATACGTTTCAGGTCTCAAATTGATAATAATTCCTTATTGGATCTTTTTAATGAAACTATAAAAAAATTTAATGAGCATCTGTCAAATTTATATAAAAGAAAAGATAAGAGTAGCCGATTTAAAATCGTAGCTAGATTTCAAAACATCGCTACCTACGAACTGACAAACAATGTCAGGATGTAGAACTGATACATTCCGTTCCACAGCGACTTTATAACGACCGTAGTTGTCATGTGACTTGCTCTTTTCTTTTATATAAATTTGACAGATGCTCATTAAATTTTTTTATAGTTTCACAAGAGTACCCAATTTAAAATCGTAGCTAGCAACTAATTTATTTGATTTTTATAGATCGTCTTGCCACAGGCTTGGCTGACCATATTAGAAACAGGTAACTAGTTCGACTGATAATACAAAAAAATAAGCGTTTTTATAATTCAGACAATGAGTACGTTATATTAAAAGAATTTTAGAGCCTGCCGCGTCGTTACAGTCCTTGTCGTCACTTCCGGTAATTCTAATGCTCTTTCTGACCACTTTGCAAATTGATAATAGTCCTGCAAGCGTAGTTTCAAACGAAAAAGTCTCCTTCGTAAGCTGCTTTCATGTATAATGCGTAACACTCCTCCCTGCAAGCTTTCCATTATTCATGTACTTTTATTGAGAACTACGGTTTCCCAGTATTCATTTTAACAGTCTGAACGCACAAAAACCCATAGGCACCTTCACTAATATGAATTCGTATAGAATTTCATGAATACTCGTTTTATTTTGCAGCTGCTTGACATATCCGACGATTGAATGAATATGTTATGGAAATAACTTGTGTACATGAGACTTTTGTTGCTTTTCCAGACGAAGGTCTTTCTTAATCATATTTTGCTTTGTCTCTTGGAGCACATAGATGGATTTTTCCATTGATTTTATTGTTCTTTAATTTTCATCTGCTAGAAGACGTGCACTTTGCTCACCATGGCTGTGGTAAGACTTGTTGCAGATCTCTTTCAGGATGTTCTTGGTACCCCAAGTTTATTCATATTCCTTTGTGTTCAATCCTTTTAGGTTTAAGAGATATTACCTTTTGCAAATTATATATCACCAATCTTTATAACCTGAATTTATGAATATTTTGCATTGGAAAGGGCTCTTAGATACCCTTCCCAAAACGAATAGTTTTTGAAAACATCGCTACCTACGAACTGACAAACAATGTCAGGATGTAGATCTGATACATTCCGTTCCACAACGACTTTATAAACACCGTAGTTGTCATGTGACTTGCTGATTTTTATATTAAAATTGTTTTAATATAACGCACTCAATCCTGTATATTCATGAATAAAAGTCGAGAGACACAGCTTTTTGAGTGGATTATTTTTTAAAACCTTATAACAACTTTTCGACCACTCGTGTGGTCATCATCAGGTAGTCTGTCGTACATAGATGACAGTTAACCTGATAATGACCACACGAGTGGTTAAAATGCTGTTATAAAGCTATAGAACAAAATAATCCACTCGCAAAGCTGCGTCTCTGGACATTTATTTAAAGTCAACAAAACATTTCCTCTCCTTATAAGAACACGTATATTCATGTTAAGATCGAATAAATTGGAATTTTCAACCTATACAGCACTTTATGCGCACATGAACTAAACGGTCAGGTCAGAGATCCCAAGAATGCGGCATAGCCACCACTATTTTGGAGCTACGAAATCAGGAAGACATTAAGTCAGTAGCATCAGTTGCCCAAAGGGCTTAATCTGGTTCTTTAAACCAAATATCGAAAGTGACCAACACTTTTACACTGCATCAACAGATAAAAGCATAGAGCGTGTTCAGCTACATCACGTCTCGAACCCTGAGCCCTTCAATCCACAACACGGCAGTTTAACTACTAAGCCACTTCTGTTCCTGTTAAGAGGGACTTATTTACTTTGGCTAATACAAAATAAACAATAAATATGTAAGATACTTATTACAACTATAGACCTTGAGAAACATTTGATTGTATCGATTATGGTTGTATAAAAGAGTACCACGTCAATTTTGTTTCATAAGTTTCAAATTTCATGGAAGATTTACATTGTAAAAGCGTCCTCGTATATTATTTATGCATGTGACACAGTTTAAAGTTTCGGCAGGACAGGGTGAACCACTTAGTGGGTTGTATTTATTTTTTTACTCTTGCTATGGAACCTTTATTTTTGGTAATCAGGTTAGCCCTGTAATTTGTTTAGAGAAGAGCCTGAAATTAAATCTATTGAAGATAATTTTTTGGACTCTTCACAGAATCGTGGGATAATCGAAATGACTTGCCATTGAGTTTCAACAATCAAAATTTATGTTCAGTTATTTTCGTTAAATTCTCACAAATAAGGAGGGAGCACGTAACACACTCACGTCCTAGTTAAGAGCTGGTTTTCTTAAGTTACTGATAATATAATACTCTTCATGAACATAGAATGACGCTGAAATAACTGAAGGTAGGCATAACCTCATATTCATGTACGCAGCAGTTGTAAAATTGCTGGTTTGTAAGTTAAAGCGTCACAGTGTTCTTTTATTCGACTGCGGAGCCATCTAGTGGTTGATCAAATACATCCCTGATTGCACCTCAGGCACGTAAATTCATATACCACTAGTACGGCATTAAATTGATGTTCTTCATCTTTAAAGTAAAACAGCTCCATTCCATAGCCTCTGTTTTAAACACAGATTTTAACTGAATTTTTGGATATAACATTTTAATAATTTTATTTTTAACCGTGTGTGAAATAGTATCTAAGTAGGGAATGACTAAAATAGTCCATTGTTTTTTGGAGCATTTAATTGAATAAAAAAAAATGGGGTATTCATTTTTCATTATAGGTATAGATGATTCTGATCAGGAACAAAACACATTTTTGGGATTACATGACAACCATATTCATCTTGGACTAACGTGTCTATTACAACCCGATTCAGAGTCAGCAGTCAAAATTAAGACAAGTGTTGATGTGCCATAAGAGAGAACGAACACAAGAGGATACCACTCCAAAAGTTTCTATATTTATTTGTCGTTACGCCTTGTCTGCCTAGTCACCTAAATCCACTTGGTTTTAATTACGTATCAACTTGCCTATTTATCCTTTTGCCGTTTTTTTCCTATAAAAATGATGAATTTGAGTATTTACCGAGCTCTTTTGTTAACTTGGAGTTTTATTGAAATGCAATAACGTACTAACCCAGATGGGCAAAAATGAAAGAAAAGTGACAGGAAATTTCTTGAAACAAGCACACAACAATGCACACACATATATACATACCGATAATACATCATATTATATAAGAGAGTCGTCCATACGGGAAGGAGGAGGGGGGAGGGACTGGAAGCAGGTTGTTTCCATCTCAAACTAGTAGGGAAAACATTCTCTCTCCAAAAAAAAATCACTTGTATTGGACAGTTTAAGAAATTTAATAAAATAATGATTTAAATAAAAAGAAATTCAACAGAAATGTTGTTGTTTTCTTACTCATTCAAGTTTAAAGGTTTATTGAAAAGATTAACTAAGCTTTACATATTCTAAACAAAGCAAATGTTGCACTCCAATCAAGATATGTGCCCTAACTAATAAACGATATGATAAACCCTTCTTATCCCGTGGACCCGGCGTAGCGGTATAGTTGAATTTACAAAGTTTCCACCGCAGTCAGTCAAGATTTATCAACAAACATGGTCTTCCAGGAGAGTTTCAATTTCAGATTTTTTTTTGTCAGTAAAGCCCTGTTAATTTCAACGGAAGATATACTGGTTACGATTTTCGTGTCGTTAGCAAGGTACTGTAAGCGAGTGCAAACTTCGTAACAATCTGAAATAGTAGAGATCAATGATTTATATATCGTAGAGTGCGCTAGCACTCTCTATGAAGGGATTGCACGGACGACCATATTAAAGAAATACAAATATGTATATGCCGCTTTTCAGCTATCCAGAGCGTCCCAAAGTCGAAATCCGATGAATAGCCAAAACCGAGATATCCCATTTTCATTAATAATCATCTTTCTTCAACAGGCCTACCTAGTTCTAGCGGTAACTATAATTTTATGATAATTTAAAGAGCAAAACGGTCTTCACGATCTTTGACTACAAATTTTATTATTATTCTATGCAAAATT